TGGTTTTGGTAAGAAAAAATTGTTTACCAATAACAAAATCGATAAGCTTTATTGATTAACTGACTCTTATCGGTTCGGTTAGTAATTAGTTTGTCTATTAACCATTAATCAATAACAATCTCCACATGTATCTAAGAATACAATCAAATTATTGTTCTACTTCTACTATGTCACATATTGTCGTATGAGGACGAACAATGAAAGTAGAAAATAGATGATCTGGATTCTAGAAAGAATGGAATCACTAGCCTTGGCTACTCTTGAATTGTGTCGAGTAGAGATGGCAATTGGATTGGATTCGTAAATTCGTTGATTCGTGAATTGAATTCAAGTGGATCCGTGGATTAGATTGAAATGGATATGTGGATTGGATTCGTGGATTGAAAATTGAAATTTTGTCTACTTTTTGTAATGGTACGATACGGATGGCCTGAAGAATAATAGGCGTGTAGCTGGAGAAATAATAAGTCAGGCAGAGCAGATAAAAGTTGGTGATCAGTTGGTCGTGATCAGCCAGGCACTCCAGGGATACGTCCTCAACACAATTACTCGAGTGAGTTCGTCGGAGACAACCTAGAGGAAATTAGCGATGATGAAGAAGTTGGGAAGAAGAGGGAATCAATCCATGGTGATGGCGGGTTCAGACTGTAATTTTCATCAAAACAACCTGAAACTTGGATGGGTTTGATCTTTTTCTGTACAAAATTCCACCGAAACAAATCAAAAACAGCAACCCACCACCCAAACAAGCAAACAGGGCGACTCTTTTTTTTTTTTTTTTTGCAGCAAGAGCGGTTGCTTCCTTGCTGCTGAATGTGGATTCAAGAAAGTCTCAGAGGAACAGAATGCTGAATGCGGTTGTGGATTCAAGAATGCTGAGTGCGGGCACAAGAATGCATTTATTCCCCTGTATTGCAGCATGAGCCATGAGCGGCTGCTTCCTTGCTGCTAAATGATGAATAGGGAGTCAAAATGGTTCATTTTATAAACTGGTCATGTAGTTATCATAAATGGTCACAAACCTATTCAATTTGTACAAAATGGTCACAATCTTTTAATTTTGCACGTTTTGGTAAATAAAGTTTGAGCAAATAACAAAACGGTAAATCCGTCCAATTCCGTCCAAAATTCTGTCCCAGATCGCCACGTCAGCCCACTTAACCCGAGTCTTCAACCGGTTCAGAACAAAACCCTTACCCCACACTCATGACTAGAGAGACTGGTCACAATCTTTTGCCAGTGTAACAATATGGTTACAATCTTTTGGTCATTGTAACAGAATGGTCACAAAGGTATGGCATAGAGAGACTGCTGTAAGAGTGACTTCAACCAGCGATAGATACCTGTAATGGACAGTAATTTGAGCAAAGACCATCAAACCTGCATATTTAAACATCCATATTGTAGATTACATTCAACAAACTGATTAGATCATACTTAACATGGGTTGGCTCGTCATGAAAGTTTCAACAAGCAATCGACATGTCACAAAAAAGATGTTCACAAAAAATGATCTAATCAGCTCCTAAAAAAAGTTCAATGTCTGCTGGTTCTTCAACTACTCGTTATGCCTGCCACGACGCCTACCATTGTTACCACGACCCCTACCACGAACCCTTCGAACTGTGACCTTCATCCTAGGCGGGTTCTCAGATGGTGGTACAAATGCTGGAGTAGGCATGAAGGTTGAGCCCTCGACACGCTCGCCATCTTGAAGAGATGTAGCTACTAGAGAGCCTCCCATGTGTGGCAGAGAGGCTGCCATGTGTTGAGGAGATGCTACCGATGGACCTGCTGCATCATCCCCACCAGATTTCTGGAAAAAATAATAATAACAATGTCAATATGGCAGCATCATTTCCATTGGACATAAATAGATTTCGGAAGATGCAGATTCTCACCTTGTCGTGGAATCGGCTATTGTGTCCTCTCTCGTGGCATACTGTGCACGTCATCTCACTTCCACCTTTGGACATAACTGTGTATGATCTTCCATGCTTATCTTTCTTTGATTTCTCCAACTCCCATGCTTCCTTACGCCTCTTCTTCTGTATAGGACCCCTCTTCTTCTGTTGAAATATAGGCGATTCAAGCTCAATGCAGGCATCATGAATCCATTGACTGGAATCATTGAGAGGGCGGACAGCAAAAGAGTATGCTTTCTTGCATGTGTCGACACGGTAACAATCATCCATATACCGCTCCGGATGATCGTTGTTCATTTTCATACATGCAATTGCATGTTGATAAGGGATGCCATTGAGCTGCCAACTACCACAAGCACATGTTTTATTCCTCATATCTACAACATATCTGCCCCTATGTGATTGCACCTGATATTCCATATTCCCATTGAAGGTTGGGAAGCAAAAAGCAGCCCAAGCCTTGTACATTTTCATCTTCTGTATGGGCTTTGGGCAAATACTAACTCCTTTCTCTTCTAGACGATGCATTATCCTCTTCTTTACAGCAACTCTCTTCATTACTTTGCCAAATATGTCCTCTAAGCAAGAGAGGATTGGCATGTCTCTCGACTCGAGAATGTACTTGTTGAAGCTTTCACAGTGGTTGTTAACTCCCATGTCACATTTGCTGTTTGTTCTATAGAAGGCCTTGCACCACTGAGTTCTATCTCTTTCCATTAGCCATTGATACGGTGTTTGATCACCAACCTTGTAGCCTTCCCCAATTGTCTCTATCTCCTCCATTACTGCCAAATATTGTGCCCGATAAGTCGAACCGGCAGCACCATAGAAAAGATCTCGGAGCTTATTGGACCTAGTGAACTTGCCACTAAAGTTCACGAACATATGGCGGACACAATAACAATGCTCGGCATTTGGGTACATAGAGTTCATCACGTTCATCAAACCCTAGCATCCAAAAAGCAAGCAAGACAAAAACACACAGTTACTAGCTAGCTATAACTATATCATCATAACAATAATAACTCAACAGACAACAATGGTTGAGAGAAGGGGATTTCATTCCATTTAAATGAGCCCCTCCAAAGAAGGGAGTAGACCAGAAGTAGTAACAAAAGAAATTCACAGTAAACCACTTTCAAAACCACGAAACAAGCAACAAAAGTTAGATAGAAATTTACCTTTTGCCTATCGGACATGAAAGTCCAATTTGGTGAGTCGTCTATCTCCAAATCCTCTCCCAAATGTTCCATGAACCATTCCCATGTATCTGTGCATTCTTTCTCTACTATTGCCCATGCAATTGGATACATGCAATCATCACCATCGATACCAACAGCCGAAAGAAGCTGCCATCCAGGCATAGCTTTGAGAAAACACCCATCCACACCAACCACCCTTCGGCATCCAGCTTTGAACCCTTCTTTGATTGGACCCAAACATATGTAGATACTCCGGAAAACATTCTCAGCATGTTCTATGATCACTGTAGTGCCAGGATTTCTTACCTCCAACTCTTTCTTGTAAGCATAAAGCTTCCCAAACTGGAGACTATCCTCCCCATGAACCAATTTTAAAGCTAACTGCTTGGTTCTATAGGCCTTCATGCGGTTGATCTTCAAACTCAAATCTGTTATCACAGTGTGCACGAGATTTGGTATCGACCACGATGGATCCAACTTAAACCGAGTTAGATACTTCTTGGCAAGGAATGATGGTGCAGCAGCTCGTAAGTCTTCATCAACTCCACAAGTATGCTCCAGATTCCCATTTCTGATTTGCACAGTGTCACAATCTCTTAGCTTTGCAGCATAGAGTTTGAATCCGCAGTTCTGTGAGCACACAGATGCAACGCTTCTTGTCGTTGGTGGGAAACTTCACATCTCTCCTTTGCACAACAGCATGTGACTTGCAAGCAGCCTTGAAATCGTCAAAAGATCCAAATAGATGACCAATCTTCAACTCAGGCATCTGCATATCCCTTTCAACCCTAAACTCAGGAAAAATTGTGTTTATGTTGAACACGTCATCTTCTTCTTCGCTTGCCCATCCAGTCTTCTCCAATAACTCACCTTCACTTGCATACAAGTCGTCTCTCTCGAGGACATCTTCATCTAGAACTGCTTCATTGGCGTTAGTTGCAGCTGGTTGCTCTTTATGGGATGACCCTGTGGAATTTTTACCTTGACTCCCCCCTGAAAATGTATGTCCATGTCCCCTTTTAACTGAAACTGATGTCGCTCTAATTTCTTCCACCTCCCTCTCACTGCTAGTGTGAACGAAATGAGCTGTATCTGGGCTGCAACAACTAGAATTTGTATGCTTAACATACAAATGAATAACCCTGTCTTCAGGAACATGCCCACCCATCTCCAGAACATCCTTATCACTCTCCAAAAGCTTCAATCCATTCTGCACATCCAAACCAGGCATCAACCAAAAGAACTGCATCGCCTGCTCCACTTCTGCTGTTCTGACCATCTCTTTAATTTCCAGCATTGACAATTTGTCAACATCGACAAAGTCAATATGATCAGTCTTCCCATCAGTGTAGCCCGTGTCGCCAAACTGCCCCATGCTGTGAATCTCAATGGTGAAAAGTCCAGAATTTCCTATAAATAGCAATGAAATCCATTAAATTGTACCCACTAATTCGAATACAAAAATGGGGACCATCTGCTTTGAATCCACAAAAAGAACATAATAGTATAATGGGACCAACTACTTTCAATCCAGAAAAAACGAATAGGATAATGGGACCAGGAACTTTCCCTACCACAACCCGACAACAAAATCAATTCTTTTCCCCAATTCTTTAATAGCAACAAAACCCTCAACCCCACATTGTTCTAAACCCTAAAAATTCTTCTGAAAAGGGAGAATTCTTACCATAGTCGGACTTTAGATGGCGACTCCGGGCCGAACGAAGCTTCCACTCATCCATTGTTCGTTAGCCGGAGCAGCTATGAAATTTCCAGCCACGCATGCACAGAATCGGCTGGGCTTTAGGGGAATATTGCCGAGGATGACAGGAGAAGGGAAGATCGGACGAGGAATCGATTCCGCGCGTTGAGGATGATTGGGGATGGACGATTGTCGCCGGCGCGAAGGGCTTGGCGACGGCGACCTAGCTTTCCGGCGCGGAGGAATCGCTCCCGCGCGTCGAGCGATGACGATGGAGCGATGACGAGCGAGCCACGATCCCCTGCAATAACGAGCGAGCAGAGGGCGACGGCGCCGAATCGGTCTCCCAACAATGGCGACGTTCTGTGTTCTGTCTCCTGCCCTTCAGAGTTCCAGTCGCGATTTTGGGGGGGGGGTGAAGAATGCAGACAGACTGAATCCGTCGATAAGGGTGAGTCATAGGTAAATGGTTGAACCGGTTGGAGTCTCGGGTTAAGTGAGCAAAATATTTTTTTATTATTTTTACACTGACGTGGCATGCTGACATGGCGATCTAGGACGGAATTTTGGACGGATTGACCGTTTCGTTATTTGTTCAAACTTTATTTACCGAAACGTGCAAAATTAAAGGATTGTGACCATTTTGTACAAATTGAATAGGTTTGTGACCATTTATGATAACTACCCTTGATATAATGGAACTTAGCAGCAATAGAACACTGAATCTCCTTATCCCAAACACCAAAACTACAAAAGCCTACTTATGACGGCTCAAGATAGGGTAAGTAACCTTAGGGTGAGTAACAATAAGTAACCAAATATGGATCATTCTTTTAAGTGGCTGCAGATCTAAGGGTGGAGAATTAAAGGAATTTATTTTCCCTAGTTTTCTTAATTGGATCATATCTTCTTCATTCTAACTCGAATTTCAATTTTTTTTGCACAGATGGAACGAGTTCGTTGTGCTCTACAAAATGATATCCATTTTCAATATTTTTTGAGAAAAAAATTTTCATCCCTTAGTTGTTTAGTCATTTTCGGAAATTTTTGCACAATAGGAACTATTTAATCATGATCTATTGGATTTCAAAATTTTCTGGGGGAAAAAATTTCATACCTCTCGTTACCAACTCCATACCGTACTATACCACCCTGGTATGAAGTGGTATTTTTCATACCATATGGTATGGTATTGACTGATAAGAATTGGCAAAAAAATTTTGTTCCAAAAAAATATCAAAGTGGATATCATTTTGAATCGTTACCAACTCCATACCATACTATACCACCCTGGTATGAGGTGGTATTTTTCATACCATATGGTATGTTGTTATTTAATACCAGTCAATACCATATGGTATTGACTGGTAATAACTGGCAAATTTTTTTTGTTCAAAAAAAAAAACAAAGTAGATATCATTTTGAAGAGCACAATTAATCTGATCTAACTGTGCAAAAAAATTAAATTCTGAGTTAAAACGAGTGAGAAATCGTCCGTTAAAAAATTAAGGGAGAAAATTAATGATTTTTCCAGGAGAGAGAAGGAGGTGCTGATGTGGCAGATTCTTATTGGGTTATGCATGTGGTTACTCACCACAATGTTACTCACCGGATCTGCTCCCACTTATGACAACAAAGTCGTGCATATCAAACCCACATCACAGTTTCCATGAATTCCATAAAAGATGAGAAAATTCATATCAAAACACATCAAAGTTTCTAAAGCTACATAATTATATCATCTCATCATCAACAACATAATGCTAGGCCTCCAACAGCTCCATCTAGACCAGTACAATAGCTTTCCACAACAACACTTCACCTTCAACAAGGCTCCATACCCACAATTATCATTCATCTGAGAGAAGAGTACATTTAGAGGCCATAAAGCTGCTCCAAAAGCCTTCAAAATCTTCACATCAAGTCTTATCATGATCACCACCTGATTCAAATGTAACTTAATAATGTATTAGATTGAAAAAATCATAATGTACACATTTTACCTCTCATTTCTTATTCGTTTAGCTTAGTATTTCATCGTTCCTCGACATATTTCACGCTAGGTTGTGCTTGGTTTGATACATTTCAGGTCCTAGCATGTGTGGAAGGGTCGAGGACGAGTTTTGGGATAATTGAAGGTCAAAAAGCGCAAAAACCAAAGAAAAGTTCGAAGGACAATTGCCCCGTAACAGTGAAGTAAAGGCGTATAGGAAACAGCCGCAGTTCACGGTCGGACAAGGCAGTTCACGATCTCCTAAGACTGTGAACATGGACCACAAACCGTGAACATCGAGCAGTCTAACGAGGTTTCAGAGTTTACTGACGCCAAGGGAGTTCACGCTCTCTAAGACCGTGAACTGGGGCCAATGACCATGAACCCAGGAGAGTGAAGCGGTGCGTTTTGGACGACACTAAGATCACAGACGCGTTTAGGTGTTCACGTCCGTGAACTGGCCAACGCGTTCGTGAAATGGTCACTCTCGGGCAAATATGAAGACAACAACGGGGAGAGAGAAAAGGGAGCTGGTTTTTAGAGAGAAATTCAATTCCCTCTCTAGGGTTTGCCCAAAAATACCAAAGGGGAGTTCTAGTGTGTGTGTGTGTGTGTGTGTGTGTGTGTGTGTGTGTGTGAGAGAGAGAGAGAGAGAGAGAGAGAGAGAGAGAGAGAGAGAGAGAGAGAGAGAGAGAGAGAGAGTGTGTGTGTGTGTGTGTGTGTGCTAGAGTGATCTTGAAGCATCATTGGAAGTTTGGGTGGATCTTGAAGATAAGGATTCAAGCCTAGAAGAAGAAGAAGAAGAAGATCTTGAGCTCAAATTTGCAATCCCTCTCTCTCTCTCTCTCTCTCTCTCTCTCTCGCTCTCTCTATAAACTCACTATTTTCTCTTGGGTGTTCTAGATCTCTAACTAATACTTTGTAATTACTTGTTTAGATTGAATGATTTTGTATGTGTTTGCATCAATTTGAGTATTAGAGGTGTTTTCATGGTGATTGTGCTTTCCAAATCTTGTGTGCTTGGCTAACCTAGATTAGAGGAAAACCACACCTTTTTAGGTAGGCTTGACAAGCTTGGTTTTCCTGGGCACTTTCTGCCTACTATCTAGGTTAGAGACGAGCATCCTCCTTGACTCAAATTTGCATCTAGGTTGGTTTTAATTAAGGCGCTCAAAATCCGATTTGAGGGAGAGACCTAGGCAACCACTAGAGACTGAGTGAGAGGATCGATCCCGTGACAAATCGATCTCTAGTGAATCCATCCCGTGACAAATGGATCACTAGTTGCTCCTCCTAGTGGTTCCCCTAGACTTGGTGAGTGGATCAAAACCGTGATAAATCGATCTCCGGTAAATTGATTCGTGACAAATCGACCACTAGTTGCTCACCCCGTGGTTCGAAACCACCTATGCCACACGACTTTATTCAATCCAACGAGTCATGGTAGCTAGTTAGGGGGAAGCAACTTCTGGGTGAAGCTCCCTTAGTTAGAGTTTTCCTTTATCTACTTTTCTTTGCTTGTTTAGTTTGTAGTTTTCTTAGTTTGAAAACTCAAAACCGTTCTGCTAGATAACAACTTAAGCGATTGAAGTAGGGGTACATGGACCGGCCCGGGTTGACAATTTAAATACTTGCTCTATACCGCACCCGTCTAGAGTTAAAAAAACTTGGGCTCTAGTCGGGATTAATTTGCGGTGTAGTTTCGTGCGAGTCAAATACCAAGTATGGTGGGCCCCGACCCACCCGGAAATAGTCTCGGCCCCTAGGACCGTAAGGATATCTAGATAAAATTTGGATAAGTAACGCTTAACCTATAAATTGTGTCACATAATAATCATGTACTCTATTGGTAGCTTAGATAAATTTTTAGCCTAAAGCAAACAGGTTCAATTCATAACAACCTCAATTTTGCTTTAACTTCTTTTGAACTTTATTATCTTAATTCTCCTCCACAAGGTCCAGGACCAAAGCAAACAGATACCACTCCTTTTCATTCTTTTTGTTACTTTAATCCAGCTACAAATGAAAAAAAAACAACCTCTATTTAGCTCACTTGGGATTTTTAGCTCTTTATACAAACTACATGATCTATTTTTTTTTTATCTATGTCGGAATGAACAGAAAGATTAGTGTCAAAGGAATTTTATTTTGTTGATAGATTGATTTGTCTTCTTCTAACTCCAAATTTGTAAAGCTACATGTGATCGTGCATGTTTTCAGGTATAAAGATAGTGAAGAATAGATTGCGAAACAAAATAAATGATGAGTTTCTTGTTAATGATTTAGTTATTTATATTGAAAGAAAGATAGCTAAATTTTTAGTTCATATGCTATTTTGAGAGATTTCAATGATCTCAAAGAACGTTGTGGCCTTTAAAAATAATTATTTTATTTTTATTTACATTTATCTATTTTCGGCCCACCCGGTCTCGAAATCCTGGCTCCGCCCCTGATTGAGGTTCTACATAGGAGGATTATGTGTAGTTTTTGCTAGGAATGCAAAATGAAGTGTAGTTTTGGAGTGAGTACTTGAAAAGAGAGCATTGGTCGTTAAATGTATAGGTGGCAAGTGTTTACTCTCTAGTACTGATAGACCATTGATTGCACATATTTTTACCCCTGTTCTTGAGCCGTTTGAGATGTTGATTCTCGTGTTTTAAGCCGATTTCACGCTAGGTTGTGTGTTTATGTCAAATTTCAGGGCTTGGCGTTGGCATCGAGGCGAAGAAACGAGTTTCGGGTCGAAAGGAGGACGTTTGATTGGAAGTGTGCTGGAGGAGCAAAATACCCAGCCATGAGCAAAAATACCCGGCCGGGTATTAATCTGAGGAGGCCGGGGAAAATCACTTTTGGACGTTTGAGAAACAGAAGGGGGCCCGGGCGTTGAGCATAAATCCCCGATCAGGCATTCTTGACCTCGATCGGGGATTAATCCCCTGTCCAAAGCGGTGCGTTTCAACAATCCCCGACCGCCACCTAAAATACCCGATCGCGGATTCTGACCGGGGATCGTGAATGACAGCTTCTTAAGGGAAAAGAAGGGCAAATTTGAAGGGTTCTGAGTTTTAGAGAGACAAAGCGTATACCTAAAGAGAGAAAGTGACGAACCTGATTTTTCAAGCGCCTTAGATCGATCTTTATCACCATTGGAGCCCGGCTTGAGCTTGGAGAAGAGTTGATTGATTGCCAGAAGCAGAATCTCATCCTTCACAGTATGGTTTCCGCGTCTGAGCTAGATTTCCCGTCTCTCTATGGAGTAACTTTCTCATTCACATGGGTATGAAGAACCCTAGATTTGTATGTTAGTTCTGATTGTATGAACCCAAGTATGAATCCATTGATTTGATTATATTCGATTGAGGTCTGATTTGTTAAATGGCATGAATCCTGATGAAATTCCTGTTGTTTCTGCTTTGACCTAGAAAGAGAATATCTGCCTAGGTTGATAGAGCATCCTTGATTAAAGGTA